GTACGGAGAAGATTTTTGTTTGCTTCCTCTCTTTTCCACTCGTAGTTATACCTGTAATAATTAAAAAGGTAGTTTAGTTGAGTAGTATCAGAAGCTAGTAAGCTATCAAAAACAAGTTGTTACATACCCTCGCGATCCATATCCACCAGACTCATGGACTTGTTTCACCCTTTCAACATAATCTTCTGGTAATTCCCTTGTCGTCGAAGGAGCTACAACCAAATAGATTAACATATATTACAACAAAGAGTTGGAATAACGTTGAGCTGCCATATATATACCAGCCGAGTTAGAGATTCAACCTTTTAAAAAGAAGGTGTCATGAGAGTCACGAGCAGGGTGCTGCTGCGGCTGGAAAAGTGCATCAAAATTCCAGAAGCTACAGGGTAGAGGAATAAAAAATTTAACATATCCAAAATATTTTCTGAATAACTAGATCAATTGTGAAAAAAAAACGATAGTTAGCATGAGGTGCTTTGATAGAGAGATAGTATCAAAAGAGAGAGATTTAGATACCTGCTCTCAACAAAGTTATTTGTTGGCATCTCTTCAAACCTGTGGCCACAAAAGTCATTATTCCCCGGTAGCAGAAAAAAAGATTGAAGAAATACTAGTAACGCGGTAAAAGTCTCTCACCCCATCTGACAAAATATGTCTTTGAACTGCTTCCGCACCTGAAACCGAACAAAATAATAATTAATAGACAGGCAGGCTATGAAAAGCAATGGTTACTCCAAACTTGTGCAAGAAAAAAGGTTGCCCCATCAGGTAAAAAATTATTTCTTTGTGACCGAGTTATATAAACACACACACACACACACACACACACACACCAGCTCGTTTTACATTTGGGTACTACCTTTAGAAGGGGGTGAAGATGCCCAGCATCAAGAGGTTGTCCCTTAGCATTGAAGTTATACTCCTTCAGCTCTAACTCTTCCCAGCTGCATGCATGTGAGTACTTTTCTTATTTGACACTAATTGATGACAACAATATCATTAGTTAACAAGTGGAGTGGTATAGTATATACTTTTCTAGATTTTCACGAGTCAAATCTGAGGGAAAAATCTTCCTTTTGGGAGCATAATTGGGACCTTTCTTTACATCAGAGTAGCCCGTCCATGTCCTAAGAAGAACGAACAGCATTAAATAATGTTCCTAGTGACAAAAGAAAAACAATTTGCAAATGAAAAGCGGTGCTGTTAGTTACTTTGTGCATGTGATTAGTTGCCTGTTTTTGAGATATTTGAGAGTTTCTTTGTCAAGTTCCTGTAGGTGAGAAACACCAAACAACTTAATTAGTCTCCGCCATAAATTAATAAAATCTGGTTTAGAGAATTCTAAATAATAGTAGTTCTGAAACAAACCAGTCCTTGCTGTATTTGTAAAAGCATATCCTTCACTTTATCTTCAACATGTTGAACCTACAGAAACAATATATGCAGAAAAAGACTGCACTCAATCTCATTTTAAAGAAGAAGAAAAAAAAATTCAATACTATAAAGAATGCAATACCATTCTAGAGACTTGATTTCCCATTACAACCCACTTTTTCTTTGGAGCTTGTGTACTTCCAACTTGGAATACAGAAGGATCTAGAATCCTCTGGAAACAAAGACAACAACAACAACAAGTAGTTTTACACATGACCACCACCACAAAAATGAAGAAGACGAAGCTATAATAAATTATAAGAAGCAAATCACCCTTAGATCATCAATGGATATGGTGCCTTCCTCGGGAACAGCCGAGAAAAACTGAAACTCAGGCGTCCCTTCCGCCGCATATTTCTTCCCTTCATCAGTCAAATCCCAGAACTCCTTTCTAACCGCCTGTCACATTCAACAATGCTTTTAAATCACTTATCTAGATAGATCCTCTCACAATCTACTGGTACGTACGTACCTTAGCTTCGATGTAACCAAAACCATGTAAGCTCTTGATGACGTTTTTGACTTCTTCGTGGTCAAGATCGTGATCGACGGCGAATTCACCTGAATGTGGGATCTCATCGTTGTTCTTCAGAAACCCTAGAATCGCCTCCTCCGCCATTTCTCTTCTCGCGCACTCAATCANCCTCTCACAATCTACTGGTACGTACGTACCTTAGCTTCGATGTAACCAAAACCATGTAAGCTCTTGATGACGTTTTTGACTTCTTCGTGGTCAAGATCGTGATCGACGGCGAATTCACCTGAATGTGGGATCTCATCGTTGTTCTTCAGAAACCCTAGAATCGCCTCCTCCGCCATTTCTCTTCTCGCGCACTCAATCAATCACTATAAGTTCTCGTTCAGTAACAAATCTAATCTTATTTTTCGTTTAAGAAAAAAATGACATCGGCTGATTACCGGCCCATTTGATTCTTAAAGGCCCATATTTGAAATTTCAATAACAAACAACTTTTCGGCCCATTTGATTCCTACGATTCTCATTTTACGCCTATTTGCATTGGAATGCCACGTGGCACATGCAGACCTTCCCAGTGACCTGAGTCTTTTAATTACTTTTTTTTTTTCTTTCTTTTGTCTTTTAATTACTTTTTTTCCTCTCTACATCATTCATCACCAACGTCCACCAAAACCGAATGCCAAAAAAGAAAAGGAGATTGATCATCACTAGCTTTAGGAAGAAGAGCAGACAGATGGGGAATAAAGCCTAAAAACCCTAGTAACTTCAGCCTCGACGTTTGACCATATGGGTTTTGAAGTAAAATAACATATGGGTTTTCAAGTAAGAAATAATCATATGTTCTGTTTTAGGTGAATACAACAGTTTTATATGTTATATTTCGACCTAAAACAATCTGAGACCTAAGCAGGAAGACTACAACGCCAAGAGATCTGTGCGTGAATAACAACACAAAATCCTATAATCATAGAACCAAATTAGGTTTTGTTAAAATGAGAGAACACACACACATATATATATATATATATATATATATATATGAAAAGTCACTGCATTCATGTTTCACCAATTTTTTGTTCATTTATATAAAAAGCAAATTTGTTTTTTTTTTGTTTTTATGTTCGGTTAACATAATTTTTAATATTTAATTTAAACAATATGAATCAATGTTCTAAAAATCGTTTAGGAGGTAACTAAGCGTTTGTGACAAAAAAAGGCAACTAAACGTTTTATAGAGGAATAATACTTGGATTCACCTCCTATGGTGAATTCTCAAGTACACCTTAACTTTTAACACCAATCAAAATGCTATGTAGGATTAATTAAAAAAAAATTAAATTAAAAAAGAAAATAAAAGAGGTGAAAAAGATGTCAGACTATATTTTTGTAACGTTATCCATGGCTTCTTTTTCTTCATCAACCACACACAATATTGACAGCTTTGTTTGTAAAATTGAAATCTACAATCATCTTTCCCTATAATCTAAACTTAAATTCTAGATTCTAAACTCTAAACCCAAATTCTAGACTTTAAATTCTAGAGGAATGTCGATCTTAACACTAAACTCTATACCTTTAACTCTGGATCTTAATACTAAACCCTAAACCCAAATTCTAGATCTTGAACCCAAATCCAAAATTTTAAAGGAGCGTTAAATCTTAAATTTTAAATCTTAAACCCTAGATTATAATTCTAGAGACTAACTAAAAATTGGAATTGGAAGGAGAGGATCATAGACTCCAGTTTGACAAACAAAGCTATCATATTCTCTGTGGATGATGAAGAAGAAAAAAACATGGAAAACGTTAGTAAAGCACTACGTCCTTTTTCACGTTTTTTTTCTTTTTAATTTGTTTCCTTTTTTTGTTAATCCTACATGGTATTTTAATTGGTGCTAAGAGATAAGGTGAATTTGAGAATTCACCATAGGGGTGAATCTAAATTTTTTTTTATAGAGGAGCGCATAGATGGATTATCCGGAGGATCTAGATGGAGACTAAGACGAATTATTAGTTTATTTTTTAGTAGATAAAGTCCGTGCGTTGCAAAGAGTTTTGTTTGATGTTTTAATTTAATAAAAAACATAAAATAATAAATAATTTTATTATAGATTTAGGATTTGTTTTTTGCATAAATTGTGTGGGATTTATTTTATAGTTACAAACTCATTAATATAATTAGAATTAGAAAATATATCTTTCAAATAATAAAATTAGAATATCTCTTCAGAGGACATGTGGTGTTTTATTACAAACATCTATTTTCTCCTTATTATTTATATATATGATTACATCTGTAACAAAATTATGCTATACAATAATGTTATTTCAAACAAAATTAATTACAAATACCCAATCAATTGATAGAAATATACAATGTTCAACAACCAAATTGATACAAAAACTTGATATAAAATTGTTTTTGATTTATTTAGCATTAAATTGATTTTCCTTTTTAAGCGGGTTTAATCTTTTTATTAAGAGAAATACGATTTAATATTATTTAAAAGGATAATTACTATTTTAAAAAAGGATAATTGTTGTTTTTTACAATTATCTTTTCTTGTTTTTTTTTTTCATTTTTAAGTTTTTTTTACAATTAGATTATTTTTAAACAATAATTACTATTTTTAAAAGGCCAGTAACTATTTTATTTTTTACAATTATCTTTTTTGTTATTATTTGAAAGAATGAATATTAGTATTAAATTTATATAAAAGGATAATTACTATTTTCTAAGAAAACAGGATTTCTTTTTGAAGACTTTTTTACAATTATGATTTTTTTTTAAAGAATAATTACTATATTTTTAAAAAGGATAATTACTATTTTCTAAGAAAACAACATTTCCTTTTTAAGACTTTTTTACAATTATGATTTATTTTTTAAAAAAGAATAATTACTATAATTTTTAAAAGGATAATTACTATTTTTTAATTATTAACTTATTTGTATTTTAACACATGTCGCAATCTTAATGTATAATTGCCATATGTCACAATCATGTTAATTAGTAACTTTGAAAACCAAGATTTATATAACAAAATATATTTTACATTTATATAAGTGATTTTAGTTTTTTTTTTTTGGTTTACAAATTTATACTAATATAAATCAAATATAACTGTTTTCGAACAATTTAAACCGACTTAAGTAGTATAAATAGAAAATTTCGATAAAAAGGGGATTTTTAGAACATTTATATGAGTAGATATGAATTATGCTCTGAGGTAGATCGCTTATGAAGTCCGGAGATTTTGCAGCTGCTGCCACGGTTCTTCCTGTGGCAGAAACGGCTGATTTTGCTTTGTCTGAAACATGGTACTTCTGGTCGGTCAGTCTGACAGCTTCAACTCCGGAAAAGATTTAGTCAGTGAGACCGATCCTCTGGTCTAGTTGAGATACTCTAGCCACTGCTGCAGCTGATACACCGTGGGAATCGTCAGAGAAGCGTCTTTGCCCAGCACGAATCCGGTGGCTAGCATTGACTTCACCACTTCTTGAGCTTTTGTCACTGCTTCTCCGGCGTTGAACTCGCCTTGTTGAGGATGAGGCTACATGAGGGTAAGCAAACACAAAATTATCTTTGATCAAACTTTTCAAAGACTATTGAATTGGGGTCCAGTGGCTTGTAGAAAGATAAAAGTTCAGAGAAACGTAAAAAAAAAAAAAAGCTCATACAATTGAGTTTGTGTCATCTACAAAACCTCGTTGAGTCGCGTTCCCAGAGTCAAACTCCCCAACGAGTTATGCAAACTCGATGCTCCAATATGACTGCCCCCTGAAGTTAAATCGATTGAATCGAATCCAAACAGCACTTACACTGAGTAAGACGGCAATTTCCTGAGAATAAGAATCCTTGAACATCACATAAGCAGTGCACGCTTGCTCACCCGACCTTATTTCATGCACAACGTAACAGAGTTTTATCTTCTGAATCAAGAAAATGCAGAGAAAGTAATGTGTGATATCAAGTTTGGTAGAAGTAAGTAAGACTCGACTCACCTGACAATATCAATATGTTGGATTGCACCGAGATATATCTCAGAAACAGCTCAGTGATTTCCACACCATATCCATTTTGATGATCCATCTTGTTCACTAAGCTTATTCAATCAAGAATCTCTACAGTATCCTCCTGCAAATTAAAGCCCTATAGTTTCAACATAACATGACTTTGATAGACTGATCATCTTCAGTTCGTGATCAAGCTTCGGAAACTAAACAAATCTAAAATCGTGAATACTACTACGCCTATCATCTTTCCGATTTCTACCTACCGCTTAACGATTTAGCTAGCTTTACGTTCTCGAACACAATTCCAATCCAAACTCGTTGAGATTTGCATCAAGAACATTTAGATCTAGAGAAGAGCAAGTCGAAGGGATCAAAGTTACCTGCTGCTGTTGACCAAATCGTTCTCAGACTGATGAGTGGAGAGAGACTAGACTGAAGTGATAGGAAATACAGAGATCAGGTAGAGAGGGTAAGCCGATCGGCCAACGGATAGGAACCGCGACGCCGATCCAAGCCGAGAACCGTCGTCTGGTANAACATTTAGATCTAGAGAAGAGCAAGTCGAAGGGATCAAAGTTACCTGCTGCTGTTGACCAAATCGTTCTCAGACTGATGAGTGGAGAGAGACTAGACTGAAGTGATAGGAAATACAGAGATCAGGTAGAGAGGGTAAGCCGATCGGCCAACGGATAGGAACCGCGACGCCGATCCAAGCCGAGAACCGTCGTCTGGTAAATAAATATGTATAATGCAATGCATGAGATGCATGACAAGTAAACCAAACAGAAAACAATGTGAGATAGTATACTCTCCCCCAAATTTACTTCACACAGTCTCTTGTGTGATAGTAAACTTGAAAGAGAGATCAAAGGAAAAATAAAATATGAAAGAACTAAGTATTTACAAAGGTAGAGTGCACTTACTTGAAGTTGGCCTTGATGAGAGAATGAAATGAGGAAGGAGAGCTTGCTGTGACCTTGGTAATGTCGACATGACCCCTTGATAGATTTAGAACTCCCCCAAACTTGTCCCTAACTTATTCAAACATATTAAAGCAAGATAAAAGATAAAGAGAAATATATACAAAGGATAAACATGGGAATTCCTCCCAAGTGCGCTTGTTTTAAGTCTCTAGCTTGACTTTGTGTGCTTGCTAATCATAAGTATCAAAAGGCTGAGCCAATGCACCTTTGGTCCTTCTCCTACAAGAACAAGAAACCAAATGCGCAAAGGAGCACACTACTGTCCATAGAAAGTAGACAGATTTTTCATCAAAGAGCTTTACTAAAGATGCAACATGAACTATGAAATGCTCTATGATGTTTAGATTGTCATGAGAATCAAATTCATTTGGTGGAAAAACAAAGTCAACTAGAGGTTCAAATGAAGTTTTAACAAAGTAGTCAACTCTATCTCCATCAATCAAATAAAGCACAATATTCACATTCTCATGATTATTTTTAACATGGGGGCTTTCTATCTCAAGCAAGAGCTTATCCACATTAAGTTCACCCCCTAAATCACTTAGCTCAAGAAGAGGTCTAGACTTATCAAGCATCAAAAACTCAGATTCGAGATCAATTGAAGCACAAAGATAATTCTTGTCAAAATAAACTTCAATGTGATCTCTAGCTAGCTTTTCTACTCTCAAGTCATCTAGTTTCCTAGTTTCACATATTAGATCAAGACATTCATTTAAAAGCACCAGAGAATCAAGATTATGGACAATGTTCTCACCACAAGGCAAGCAAATTTCTTCAAATTGAAGTTGTAAAGAGGAAATTGTTGTACCTTCCAGCTGGGGTGGTGGAACCCAATACATTACCTCATTAAGGGCACAAGCAACATCAAACTCATGCTGAGTAACTTCCCTTCCTTCAAACTCTGCTCTATCTCTAATGAGGTGTATCCGGACCATTTGTGCTAGATATCTCATTGGCTTGCCCATGTACTCTCTCATTCTCTTAAGCCTTTGTAGCTCCACTCTTTGGTCTGGTGTGAGTATGCGCATATCAAAGGGTGGTGGCTGCTTCACATATGGCCCATCTTCAATGTGATCTTCCTCTTCTTGTGGCCTCTCAAGGTATCCTGAAGCCATCTCTACAAATAACAAAAGCTAGAAGAAAAGGTTAGTAACTAAACAAAGCAAAACAAAGGATAAGAAAATAAAGCTTAGTCTCAAGAAAGATTGAAATCCTAATGAAAGATCGATCTAGTTCCCCGGCAACGGCGCCAAATTTGATAAGGGTTTTTAATCCTTAGAGCAAATCGATTGTAGTATTTTAGATTGTCGAACCACAGGGAACTAGTGATCTAAGCACTAAGAGTACACAAACTTTCCTAATCTAAGCAAATAGAGAGTTCGATTTGTAACATGCTAAGGTTCCTAAAAATATAAACAAGGTGATCTCAAATCCAATCTAGAAACAATCACAAG